GCTACAGGGCTGAACTTCTTCTGTGTTTGGAGTTTACACCAGCGTGAAAAAGGAAAAAAAAAAACAGAATTAAACCCAGTAAGCATACATTTTTAGATTTATAAATATCTGCATCAAAACCAGGCTAAATTTGGTTTTAGACCTCTAAGTTACACTCTTACATAAAGTTAACTATTGTTTTCATAATATTTAAATGAATATTTCTCTGTAAAGTAGATAGAAATAACACGCTGAAATAATAAATAGTTCACAGTAATTGAAATGCTGCTAAACCAACTGGTAAGAGTAGCCCAGACGTCACCATTCAACCAAATTAAGCCCAGTTTTAACCTATATTTCTAGACCATTGTAACTAGACTAAATCACAATTCTGTACTTGTTGTATTTTATGTTTTTCATTATCAGTAGTTTCCTGAAGTTTTGAATAAGTGGATTGGCAGTTCTTCTAACCTATCAGAGGTTATAATGGACGTTGAGCTCACATGTTTGGTTTGACATTAGAGCCTGGCATATCCTTTGCTTATCCGGACTCACCCCTCTGCTCTCAGAAAAGACCCCAAGGCTTGTAAAGAATCTGAGGTGATACTCAGCACGGCGTACGCCCCTGACGTTTAAGACAAACGTTTGTGCTGTCAACTAACTTCCTGACCATGTGACCGCTCGGCCCCGTTGGAATGACAGTCCCCAAAAATAAACGCACCCCGCCCTGCGTGAAAGGAGTGAGCCTCCCCCCCTTCCTTCTGGCGCATGTGTCGACACTCAGAGGGCCTCTGCTGCTACTTGACGTGTAAACCGTTTTAAGCAACAGCTTAATCATCAATCTGAGAGACGTAAATATGGCTGAGGCTGTTGAGTCAGGGAAAAACAGGTAGAAGCCAAGTGGCAGATGGAAGATTACATCCTCACATAATTGCCGCTGTAGAAACAGCTGCCAAACTTTCAGAAAAAGTTGCTGTCAAGCAGTAAGGCTTCCTAATTACTTCTTGATTATTTTCTCTCCTTAAGAGCAATGAATTTTGCATTTCTGTCTACTTCACCCCGTAGGTGAAGGTGTGGTTCCAGAACAGGAGGATGAAGTGGAAAAGAGTGAAAGGCGGCCAGCAGGGGGCTGCAGCTCGAGAGAAAGAACTGGTGAATGTGAAAAAGGGGACGTTGCTGCCATCAGAGTTCTCTGGCATCGCAGCGCTGCACCACTCGACGGACTCCTTAGCCAATGAGGACAGTCACGACAGCGACCAGAGCTCAGAGCATGCTCACTTATGATGCACACACACACACACACACACACACACACACACACACACACACACGCACACACACATGCACACACACCCCTCAGAGTATAGGCCCTGACTCAGGACCGTCCTTAGAAGGACTGCTGTTTGCTGATTCGCCATCGTCATACAACGATGCTAAATAAGTGTACAAATGTACAGAGTAATGACATGTGTTAGATAATGCAGTCATCATGCAGGCAAAATGTAAATTTTAAGAACTGAGCACATAAAGGAGGATGTTGACATATTTCTAAGTGTCATTGGTTAAGGATTTCCTTGACATATGCGACAAAAAAAATTAAATAACTCTTGAAATGTGATGTTTTGGCTACACAAAATCACTGAATAACATTTTGGAAATCATATTTAGTCAAACTGTTGTAAACATTCCATGTTGTGTGCCTTGACAGAAGCAAGTTAATGACCCTTTTAGACACAACACAATATGCGTGGCAATCGCTGCTGTTCAGTCTACTTGAACTTTGGCGAGCACTGCGTGGCATCAAGTGGTTTGCTCGATCCAACGAAAACCTGCCGAGGCAATCATGGGTTTCAGAGCGCAGAGGTGCCGTTGTCGCGTTGTGTCTGAAAGGGCCTTAAAGCTTTGATTTGCACTGTTTTGAACATACAGTCTCCATAGTTTCTAATGTATAAAATGTAAATTACGATGTAATTGAGTTATTGAATTCAAGCGCCAGGAAATCTAATTTGCCTAGCTAATATAAATGATATGTAAATAATTATCGGTATTGTCTTACCATAACAATAATTTTATACCCACACTATTCAGCTCATGCAATAATAAACACTGACAGTTCTTTAGTCAACACTTTTCTGCCTGGAGATTAAAGTTTGTAAACAAATCTGAAACCTGAAATAAGTATTTTATGAAAATCTTTTCAGGGACAGTTTACAGATCAAATAAAATTTAACCAGTGGTAAATGGAATTCCATATGATTGAATAACTTGTTTTTCCATCTATGTATCCATCCATCCGCATGAATCCAGGCTGGTGTATGTGTGTTTCATGAAATGTAGCTCAAAATGAATTAAACATTGCAGTGAGTGTAGAAAGCTGGTGATGGGGGTGCATGCTAAATTCACCTTTGCCTTGGGGCAGGGGCAGGACTCCTGCCAAGACTCTGAGAGACAACCCGCAAAGGCACGGATTCTGTTACAAAATCCAGTTGAAAATAATTTCATGACTTGAGCTCATCTTTCACCACATTGTGATTGTGCATTCTAATTTGTTGAGGAGGCACCGCACAGGGCATGTGAGGTTTTCATTTTTTTCTCTTTCCCCTTAAAGTAACCCACAGGATGAATGTGATCCAATATTTTTTTTTACGCTTACCTCTTCCACTGGGTCTTAATAATCTCACATGTGCACAATATCAGCCCAGGCTACAAACTTACTCCTATACAAGTAGAAGCTGCAGCATATTCACCTACAAATATGGTCTTTCTACTTCATCTGCACTGACCAACTCCTATATAACTCCTTATTCCTGACTGTTTAATCAAAAACAACAAAAAGTGAACACATTTGGCCTAAAACCTTCAACATGTGCATTTAATTTCATGTGCAAAGACAGAGACAGCTGTCCTGCTTTTACATGCCTCTTGATGCTACTTATACCCGGTGCATTAAAGAGGATTCTTAACCAATTTAAAAAACGTGGGATACCCCAGAAGTAACGACAGAAGCAACCGATTTTTAATATTTTCATTTTTTCATTTTTTTAATTTATTTAACCTTTATTTAACCAGGAAGTCCCATTGAGATTCAGAATCTCTTTTACAAGAGAGACCTGGCCAAGGTAGCAGCCAAATCACAACAAATGCATACAAAAATACATTGTAAGAACCCATACACCAGAAGATTCGGTCAAGATGCAAGACCCCAAACTTGGCATTTATACTAATTGATTTTAGAGTGGCGATTCCATGAACTTGGGATCTCACAGAAGCTTGTGTGATCAAACTCGACTTCAGGCATAAATATGGAGGAAGACTGTCGTTGTCAACTAGTTGCACTTGTTCAAGCTATGTTTTGCACTGAAAAACAACAACAAAAAAAACATAGTTGAAGTCATGGCTGACAAGAGGGAATCAGCATGGTTTATACATTTTATAGCACAATACACAACACATTGGTGAGGCTCCCAGTCAGCACGCTGTTATTTGCTGTTGTAGGTTTCTGATCAGAGCCATCCCGTTTTTGAATTTGGTGACCTTAAAATTATGTCTGTTTAAACATGTCACACAACAGGATCATTTGGGCCGATAATCTGTTTTGACCACCATTGGATCAGGAACACCCTCGTGATTGTTGGAAGAGGCGAATCGGACCCGAACTCGGCCCCTATATCCTCTAGTGTGCAGCCAGCATTACTTATAGTGTCTGGTGTATTGATGTATTATAACTGTAGCCAAAACGCTCTCTGTCTATGATGATCTCAGCAATTTTCTCTATTTTAGAAAATACTTAATTTTAGTTTAAAGGTTCAGTTTTATTGTCATAAGCAGAATTGAAAAAACAATAAAAAATAACAAAATATTTAAAAGTAGCACTAAGGAATGAATAAAAAGTAAAACTAAATTAGATTATTTATATTGAATTGTAGCGTTTTCTCCCCAAAGTAAATTGACAAATACACATGGTGATGTGACAAAAAATGGGTATTATTAATACAGGTTATCTAACAGGTGACACCACTTTCCAACCCCTGACCTTGAATCCTACCCATGCAGGCAAGTCTACATCAGGTGGTCACCGTCTCAATAACTGGTGTAACATGCGTCTACAACACAGACAAGGCTCAACAAGGCGGTGGTCCCAGAACCAACCTGCTCTATACCTGTCTTGTACTTGTGCTAGGACATGGCCTCTCCTCACTAGTCATCAAAGCAAGTGGCCAGGCTAATCAATCATCAATCAACTGATAAAGCCTAGCTAACTGGCCTAGCTTGGTTAACTAGCATGGTAAGTTAACCAGGCATGTCCCAGGATTGTAGCATTGAGGATGCCGACACAGAGGTCATGTCTTTATTTTTTTATTTTGGTAGTTTGCACATTAAAAACACTGACTTGGTGGTTATTGTACAAGCTAATTTAAGTTTGTTTAAGACTCACATCAACAGTTTAAGTTAAACATTTTGGTAAATGTGCTTGTTTGTTTTCTGGTGGACAGTTAACAAGATTGATACTAATGTTACTCACATATAAGGCAGAAGACATCAGCTGGTTAGCTAAGCAATAATAAGCCTGGCTCTGTCAAATGGTAACAAAATCCACCCACTACCAGCATCTCTAAAGCTTTATATTTACCCAGGTTTATATTCAGCTAATTATGGTTAATGGTTAATGGATATATATCTCATTTATTTAATCCACAAAACCTAGAAGATATGTTTAAAACAACACTGTTTTGGGGGGATGGTTGTGTGTGAAAATTCTTGGCTTCTGGAGACTCCAGGAAGTTTAGGTCCTGGCCTGTGTCCACTCTTTGTGCTCAGCTTGGAGAACTTTCTACTTATAAAATCATGAAGTTGAGTACTTTATGCTGTTGATACACAAGCACTTCTTCCATTTAAGTCTCTTAGGACACCGCTAAAAAGGACTGAGAGAGAGTATCACCAAGACTCCATAGAAACCCTAGACTGAACTTCAAACTCTCGCGAGAGAAAGTGACACGGAATACGATCCCTCCCGATCAAAGGTAAACTGGCAGTCAATAAATGAAGCAGGATCAGTGGGTAAATGGTCACAGTAACAATAACTTATCCTACAGCCGCATTACTCCATCGCAGTCTCGGTTTCCTGTTTGTGAGAAGTTTGCTGTTCACTGACACGCTCTCAGTTTCGCAACTGACCTACTTAAATCGCCAGAGAGAAAAACAAGAGTGTTAAACGGCGAATACAAGGATTAGGTTCAAAGGAACGTGCCCAGTGTGAGAAACACCTGCACAGGTAACGGAAACTCACCTGGAGTAGCTGTGAGTGCGGTGGGGTCTGCCAGCACCTGACGTTATGGAGCTCGGCTCGGTGTCCACGGGGGTCCGGTCCCTGTTTTTCATGCTCACACCGAACGAATCATCTTTTCAGAAAATGGAAGCTGTTCCTCAGTATGTGCAACAGGTGGGTACAGCCTCTGTCTCACTCACTTTAAGCAGTATGATGATGTCGTTGTATAAAAGTCAAACGAGTTCCCCCCTCTCTCCGCGAGACACCTCAGGTGACCTTACTGTCCTTTGGAAGAAGTCAAAGTCTACAATGAAAGTAGTAAAACCACATAAGAAACATATAAGTGCTGCATTCAAAGGTTCCTTTGAAAAAGAAGTGTACAACTGTACCTGGTCTACCCCAAGTAGAGCTGCAAAGATTCATCATTTAATCAATTAGTCGAATAATAATAAATTGTTGATTAATCTGCTGATCATTTTCTTGACTGTTTGATTGATTTATAGTTCAGACAATCCCTCACAGTTTCCCTGAAACCAAGAGGATGTCCCCACTTGCTTGTTTTGACTGATCAGTTGTTACAACAATAAAAAAGGTGAAAGCAACAAATCCATTGAAAAAGCTGGAGCTGGATAATTTTGGAGGACTTTTGTCATTTCACATCAGGACAAGAAAGTTATCCAACCTCTTTCCCTTTGCAAAACTATAAGAATGTTGGCTAACTGTCATTATGTAATCGTGCCAAATTAGTTTTTCCAGAGATCGTGAAAAGTTTTGTAGATACAAGATTACTAATGTTATGATCTTATTTTATATGAAAGTGCAAAGTTAATTAGTTTAAGCTTTATTTATTAAATCTAACTGACATTAAGATGTCTTCTGCAAGTGAGACCTGAGAACAAATCACATACACAGCAAGACAAGTCATTCACAAAAATGCTAATTTCACACACTGACACACTAATTAAAAACAAACATAAATCAGTAAAAAAATGCTTTGTTGCAGTTCATTCTAGGTGTAAGGTGCATAGTACCTGAAACCAGTCTTCCTCACTTTTGGAATTGGTATAAGACAATTCCAGATACATTTAAATGCTACATCTACTTAATATTTCCCCACTTCTGCTTAATGGGTTTCTTCTGCTTCTTCCAGTTTACAGTGTCCCAGTTGCCATTTATTATGTCAAATGTCTGGCGCAGGTTTAAAAACACATGTTTGTTATGAGGTTTTATGGGGCACATCAGGGGAGGAGAACAATTAACCCCACAGCAGGATTCCTTATAATCCACTACCAAACCTGATAAAAAAATTTTGTTATAGCCGCAGGGCTCTGTGGTGATAAAAGTTAGCATGGGCGTGTGTGAGCAGTTTGTGACTCAGCATCATTTACAGTTTGTGATGTGTCATTAATTATTCTACACAACTGTTGTTCTCTGATCCCAAATGAATTAGAAAAAACTAACACAGCGTTCTAATTTTGAAGTTGTTTGGAATTATGAGTTTGAATGCAAACAAAATATTTTTCTCAGACAGCAGTGATAAGTGGATTGTCAGCCTCCATGTTTTCAGCCAACATCAGTCATCTGTGACCTTATAAATAAGCTTCTTGGGAAATGCACGCATTTGTCCAAAAATGTCATGTTCCATTTAATGTCGAATTCAGAAGAAAATAAAATTATTAGATTAGAAACAGTCCACACAGGATGTAAGTATGCTTCAGTTTAAAATTGACTTTCTTTAGTGTGATTTTTAGTTTATTGTTTAAAAGATAAAAACACTGCAAAGTATCATGTCAGTGATGAAAATCCTAAAACACAAGAAAAATTGAAAAAAGATGGATGACAGATTATATCAAATACGGGAACAGTGCAAAGAAATGGAGGCAGTGCTGAAAAGGCCTGGGGTGCGTAATGTTACAAAGAAAAAAAAAATACAATAACAAAGACAAGTTTTTTGCCCTCGACTTCTTTTTTGCACAGCATGAGAATCAACTTCCCCCGCTGAATAATTTGGTCCTGAGCTGTCGAGAACGTGGGTCTGCAGAGGTACAACTATCAGCTAGACAGGGGAGAATAAAGGAGGGAAGGTTTTAGGCCGTTGTCCAGAATGATAATCTCTCTCTCAGCGGGTTTGGACGAGGTCTGCCTGTGCTGCGAGCCCATTTGTTAGCTGCAGCTCTGCAGTCTGTTGCCAGATGTTGGAGTGTTGCGTGTGATCGCAGGTCCCTGGTGGTGCTCTCGCCTCTGCTTGTGCACACACATTGACACACACACACACATTGACACACACACACACACACACACACCTGCATGCTAAAGTGGAAGCATTCACATGTGGATATGCAGACACATGCATGCACCACTCACTCTCACTTCCATCCACACTTGAATACACACCCACTTCCTCCCTCCACACCTGCAGATGTGCTCCTCTGCGGTCTCGTCACGCCCTTCATTCCTCGCTCTTGGAGAGGCCATGTGTCCCGGTTACGACTGCAGTCACTTGGTCAATGAGTCCCTTCAAGCTAAAGCTAACCAGCAGGTGTAACATACTGCTGAAGTTGCAGTCGTGACCTGTTTGCTGCTAACTACGTCCCTCACTAATTGGTTCCACATTTGACAGACCCATTAAGAGGTTATTACATGTTTTTAGCACAGCTAGAAAGAGAGGCCTGTCACTGACTGTTTGGTTAGTGCTTACAATTTGTTTAGTTGTAAAATTTTGTAATGTAATCAATTCTTTGCAACTATTGGAAAGTAGAATTTTGTCATTGTATCATTTTTGTCAATTTGTTTGAATTCTTCATGTTTATTAAAATGAAAAACATCCTATTCATTTTTGTATTGATGATCACACATTTGTCAGCCACAGCCATATTGCTGCAGCATGTGTTTAAAGTCGGTAATACAGTTTATTATTATTTTTTTTTATAAAGAGGAACTTCTTAATTCAACTTAAGTGCAGTAGCTTAGAGGTCAGTCTTTCGGAAAAAACACCAACACAATTTAGATTTCTTCTTTATTTGAAGTGGAGCCTCAAGTACTGTTGATATGCACCTTATACTTCACAATTTAACATGGGATGAGTTATTTTAGGTCAAAACAAACAGAATGCCAGCACTCACAGATAAAAGTCTTCTAGTGTATTGTAGGCAAAAACAAAGCTAGAAGTCATCGTCAATGTAATCAAAAAGGCAGAAATGGTGATTGTGAACAGCTGAGGTTTCTTTCTAACACCAATCAACAAAGAGAATAAATAATTGCATGATAGGATACATCCGTGATTGAATCGCCCAGAAGCGGCCTCTCCTAATGAAAGAGGAGTGACGACAAAAACAAAAACACCAATCACTAGTGAAGCTGAAATGGTAATGAATATAAAACTGAATGCCAAAGCCCCGAAACATATAGCAAAAAATGTATGTAAAAAATTAGGTTCCAGAAGTGAAAGCTTCAGCCTATACATTAGATGGACATGAAACCTTCCTTGTTGAACTACCAGTACAAAAGATGAGCACCTTTATTATAAAATGTCTGGTTCTTGGATAAAAGGTCATAGGTCTTATAGCTACTTAGGCTAACAGGCTGACTAGCTTAGTGTTACATAGATGTCTTTGTATGGCTGTTTTTTATCAGTGAACACCAAGACAATTAAGGTTCATAGTATGACGTCGTTTGCTCCTTGTTTTATTTTGCTTGGCTTCCACCTGACACTAAAAATGAAAATGTGTGGTTTGTTAGCACTGATGTTTAACTCAACCACTGAGATCATTTCTACCTCCAGTGCAGCTCTGCACAGACAAATGTTTGTGATCTCTAATTTGCCAATACATTGTGGCTTTAGACCCGTTGCTCCAGGCTCTCACAGTGAAACAAACATCATGGCTCACAAGACATGAAAGTCATGCAAGCTTTTAGCTCATTTGCCAAGACAAATATTCACGCTCAACACAACTGCTAGAAGCAACAGAGGACTTAAAACTGTCTTGTTTTCACAGTTTGTAACAGTGTTGAATCATGATTCCCGGTGTGTGTGTGTGTGTGTGTGTGTGTGCGTGTGTGCACAGGCCACTCCTTTCTTTATAGGGCTGATGGTGCTGGAGCTGGTGGTGGGCGTGCTGAAGACAGGGGCCCCAGTGGTCACCATTAGTGATGGACTGACCTCCATATCTGCTGGAATGATCTCCAGACTCCCATTGTGAGTGTTAAGTCAGGTCATACCGTAGGATATAATAGGATAGTAGTGCTGCATGTAGTACCAGAAAACGTTATTTGCTACTTGATATGACTTTTATCTTTTTTATCAGAATTTCTTTTTTTATCATAGCTGCCTTTCTGGCTTTGAATGAAAAATACCTGTGTGATTCGTGTAAATCTGATTTTTTTTCTTGGTTGCTGTAACTTTAAATGTTGCTGTTTTGAATAACCATTAGTAATGTGATGTCGGTAACAGCAAGGTGGTATATGATGTTATTTAGGAAGTCCGGAGATTGTGCCTTGCTTAGTGTGGACAAATCAAAAGATGTGTCCCATTTCCTCCTTCAAACAAAAGACGTAAATTCCAGTGTGGGTGGGGAAATTATTTCTTGAAGTCTCTTTGAACATTGTCCCCTTACGGTCCGACCAACATAGTGCAGGGTGGTTAGAGGATCCACAGTGGATACACTATAGCATCATTGCCTATTTACAATGCTTAATATTGCACGGAGTGGATATTGTTTTCCACTAGGGTTGTGTAAAAACTGGTTAAAAGTCAAATATCTGAATAGGGCAGCCATTGTTACATATTCTGTCTCAAAATGTGGACAGAGGAAGCCGTGAAAAATAGAGAACAGCTAAAGAGTTGAATAAGATCGCTGTGGTCTTATAACTACGTTTGAGATTCACTGACGGTTGAAGCATTGAATTTTGATATTTTATCCTACATACTGTATATAAAGGAATATATATGTGTTTCACAATATTTAGATTTCCACAAATAAAACAAGAGCACCAGGACTGACTGTTATTTTGTGTTAACTTGCAGCACAAGATGAACAAATGAACTCTCATTGTTCAGTACAACATGAACTGCACATTGTACATGGGCACACTGTAAACTGGCTTGTTTCTTCCTCAGGCTGTTAATGAGAGGTTGTGAGTTGACAGCGTACATGTATGTGTGGGACCGGTACCGCCTGGTGGAGCTGCCCTGGGACTCTGCCTGGACCTGGTGGTTCACCTTCCTGGGCGTGGACTTCTGCTACTACTGGGTTCACCGCTTTGCTCACGGTACCAGCCCATGAAGAATGATTAGGATTCATAGCTAATAAGTACAGTTTCGTAGAACTTTTATTTTGGCAATAGTTTTTTAAAGTGGTAGCAGACACAGTTGTGTTGTGAGTTCATAATAGCAATTTTTAAAGTGACACTCACCCCAAATTAGGGCTATCCCCAACTAAGGATTTACGTAGTCGAATCAGAATCGTCAAGTCCTGCCTATAATCGACAGATATTCGAGGCATGTGTGTGTTTATGTGCAGGGCGATTACGAGTGCAAGCTGCAGATCTGCAGTCTCTTTTCATTCAACTTACATTGTAAATTCCAGCTAAACTGAGGCTTTTTGAAGACCCTTTTCTCTCTCTCGTCATTCAACGGTCTTGTGCAGACTTTTACGTGCATTACTGCTGCCAACAACTGCATGCACGTTGCGGTTCCCCGTGGGTCTATTTCAAGTAGCCCGCTATTTAAAAACTATACAATATTCTTCATGTGGTTCATCAATGGTGATAAATTATCCGAAAGTCCCGCGAGGTGCAGACAACTCGGCACAACACTGTGAAGCTGGGGCTCGGTCTCTTCGGCAAGCGTTCCTCCACTGCTACTGCACAAATACATGCTACACTTACGCATGCGCACTGACGACCTAGGGTTAGGGTTACAATTTTGGATTTATTCAGGCACTTCAAAAACATTTATTGAAAGTTTTATTCTTTTTAGCATTAAACATTGAAATGTATATTGTAATAGGCTGTATATTAACTTATTGGGAGAAAACTGGTAGTTCTATGTAAAATCAGACGTTGAGCACCCCCATATAGCCAAAATGGCATGATCCTTGTTTCCGCTGCGATGCTTCGACTGTGAGATTTACAGTCGAATGAGGCTCTGCCCATCAAAACATCGAATCTTCGACTATTCGGGGTCAGCCCTACCCCAAATCATTTGAGTAACAAGTACTCACCTCTCTGTAGAACTAAAAATCAAGATGTGACAGCTTTGAAGTTTGCTCCTTCAAGGAGGCTGTGGTCAGCTTGGATTCATAGTGTTTACTATGGATGTGATTAGTGACCACTTTTCCTGGTGGAAAAAAGTATTAAAACGTCAGTAGAAACTTTTCAAACCATGCTTGCAGCATGGTCATCTTCTCCACTGATCACACATGCTCAGTATGTTTTAAACACACCATATTTGCTTCATAACATGGCTAACTAATGTGTGTTTGTGTGTTTGTCCTTGGGTATATTGAATGTTATGTTAATGAAAGATTACTTAGCCATTGCCAATATAACTCCACTACTAACCAGCACAAAACAAACAATCACTCCTCTTTCATGTGTCCCTCAGATAATACCAACAAAAAACTACAAAGCGAGCTGATGATAAATGGTTGCAAAATGTTGATTTAGTTGCCATCCCTGCAGGGAGGAGTCGTGAAGATAGCACACACATCATGCTTTCCTGGACGATCTGGAGGAAGCAATTATTTTTGAGTTACATCCAGCTGGTTTAGAGCTGTGCAGATGTGAGAGGCCGAGGTCTCCAGAGGGCTGTGGTCTTAACCCGGAGCTCTTACAGCAACAGGCTGTATATAGTCATGGCTCAACGTCCTGCAGCATCACTATAAAAAACAGAAATAAAAAAATATATACCGGAAACAGTATTTCTACAGTAGTAGCTTGACATTTTTCCATGTGTTGGCTCACTGATGCACGTGCCAGATGCTCGGCTGCCACACAGCACACCGAAAGAGAGGTTTTTATTTGTGGCCTGCACTGATGTTTATTTGTGTCAGTGGCACAACGCGCTGCCCGCCGTCTAGTCCACATAGTTTTGGATGAAAGTCCACTACCGCTGTGCTGGTGTTAGGATCTGGCTAAACAGAATCTGTGTTTTTAAATAATTTTTAACCATCTCCTCACGAACCACAAGACACGGCAACCCTGCTTTTACACGGGTTATTCTGCTAGGTGTGGACAAGATTATTAAGACTGAAAGACAAAAGAATCTTAATCACTCTTTAGCCATAAATAAATCACAGTACAATAATATAAAGGTAAAGTATTTTCATTCTTTTTTAGTTATGTAGTTTTCTTTAAACATAGTGTATATCTGAGAGAATGTGATGAACTAGTAAGATTTCTCCAGGAGAGACTGGATTTTTCTCAGGCTCACACTAAAAAAAGTAGTAGCTTTTACATGTGTATATGTACAAGAGAAAGACCAAGGACAGTGAAAGTATCACTGTCAAATGAAAATCAATACTTGCTCTGTGCACTTCAAACCAAATTGTTTAAATCCAAAGTCTGCCTGAAACTAAAATTAAACAGTATATGAACTATATAGTGACTGGAATAAACTAATTGATTATTGCCCCACCAGCAATAATCTAAAGCCATTGTAGCTACATTAAATAAGAAAACGTACCATTTTTTACACAAACACATTTTAAATTAAAAGCAGAGTCCCTTATCTTTCTTTTCTTCTTCGTAATGTTATTGCTGTTGTTTAATATAGGCCACAGTTTATAGTTTGTTATATTTTGTGTTTCTGCCCTGAAACTAAACCAATACCTCAGATGGACAAAAAACTTGGCATGTTGCCATGGCTGCAAACTGGGATGGATCTGTTGTTGTAATCTGATTTGAAAAATATCAAGTTAACAGTGTTATCAGTGTTTGAGCCTGAATACTGTAAACAAAGCTCCAGACTTATTTGACAGTCCAGGAAACTGGGTTAAGCGGCACACATAGGGTGGATGAGTCATGTTTGTCCTTATTTTTAGAAGTACAGCGCTAATGTGTCTGCTGAGTAATATTCAGTGAAACCTGAAAGAAGCTTTAATGAAGTGTGTGTTCCCGCCGTTGCCCTCATTGTCTGACGATGCAGAGGAATGACGTCTATAGTATCATATATCTGCTCGGTTTATTTGGTCGGAATTCTTTTATTTTTGAACTGCAGAATCATTTTTATGTCTCAAAGAAACTTTCCACTTACTTTCATTTCCTCTTCTTCCAGCCTGTTGGGGTTGTTATTATGGAACATTGTGGGGTCACAGATAATTGTCTGGTGCTGAGTGCCCGCAGCGCTCGCTCAGGATATAAGCTTTTCCCCTTGTTACCAAAGTGCAGCGGCACTCCTCGACCGCAGGACAGGGCCGGCGCGGTCCTCACTCCTCACTCTGGTCAGCCGAGGTCATCCCGGTCAACTTGATTTTGACCTACGGCTTTTTCCAGAGCAATGTTCAACCAAAATATTCCAATGTGTGGGATGGATGTTGTCCATAATGAAGTACTGTGGAATGAGACAGATGTAAGATGCGGGTAGAAAGTATTTTTCAGCAGTTTAATGAGTGTCAAATTGTCATGTAACACTGTTTTAGGAGGGCCTGTCTTATTTTTATTGCAGTCAGTATCTTGGAACAGTTTTACAATCTTGCCGGTTTTTGCCTCAAAATAGTAGAAACACTGGATCTGTAATGCTTTTGTGTTAGGACATATGAGCTATAAATCTTAATATTGCATAATAGATCACAATAGAAAACTGCAAAAAGAAGCAGAAGCGGCATCCTCAGCTGGGGAATACGAGCCCTTATTAGTCTCAGTGTAAAATATTATTTTCGGTATGACCAGTTTTATGGCCTTTTTCTCATAGCTTCCTTCTCAAGACTTCCACATGAAAGGACAGCTCAAAGATAATTAAGTGGAAAGTACTTTGAAAGGCCATCACTCGTCTGTGCTGATGCCATCTTTACTGAGGAGACTTTTGGCTTCGCTCTTGCCAGACACTGTGATCCTGGAGATAGCAAGAGATTCGAAGGAAAGTGAGCTACCCCTCATCACAAGTGAGCTACCCCCTTAAGGATTCTCTACTGGCATAAGCAAAAGCCTGCGAGTAGAACAAATTTATTGCTTGGCATTAGGTTTGAATGTTGGATTTCAAACATCTGACTGACCTTTGTGCACACACGGACTCAAATAAGGGGCTCGTTTATATCTTGTTATCAATATTTGCTCTTACTAACTCTTATCGTTGATGCATGTCCCAGAATCGATGTACTGTAGCTTTAGTGAGTCCTGCTTTTAGAATGATATATTTTCTATAATATACTTACTTTTGAAGAAGCAAAAACGTTGATGTGAGAAGTTATCAATTCCTCCTTTAACCCCATGACACTTGATATGCATTTAACAACTGGCTTATGTATTAACAGCCATTGAATGTACCGTTCAATAACCTGGTGAATGACCAGAATATAAAAACAAATTCCAATTTAACCCGCAGTTTGTCTGTTGGTTTCCCTTCTAGTCATTTTTTTACCATCACACAGACTATATACGTTCTAATCTTTTCTATTCTGAACCTGCCTGGAACCAGATCATTTTGGGTGAGCAGGAGGCCGACTTGGTTCGGATGCGGCCATGTTGTTGACAGACTTGTTGATTCTGTTTATTCTAACCTCATATCGCAAGTGCCACTAATAGCAGCTCTGCTCTAGGGCAGCATCTATATCCAGGCATGCCAGCCAGGCCGAAGCCATTAATCAGCCAGTCAGCTGTCCGTACTCTGATTATATGTGAGGTAATGGAGTTACGCTGCAGTTGTCTCACCACAGCAACGCTGCTGCTCTGTGTTACACTTATAGCTCAGAAACATCAGAGAATCACTTAAAGGTCCCGTGAAATGGTATCATTACTTCTTTAATGTGATCTGACATGTAAACCAATCAGCTATTAGTTATTGGGTGAAAGGCAGTTTGATCTGATTGAACAATTTTTGGTATACCCATTAGTGCAGTCCCAGATGAAAATTGATGGTCAGATGGTACACAAAGACACGTCCACCAATTTAGACCTTCAACAATCGAGTGCAGGCTCGGTCAAAATATTGACAGTGTCAGAAATATAAGACTAAAATGCCCACTGGGACCATTTCAGAAGCAGTGTGTTTTACCTGCCTGATTTTGCTGACTTGCTCAGATTTTGTTGATTTGATAATTAGTCCTTGATTT